TCCCCACTAGCTCAGGAGCCAGGCAGAAGGAGAAATCCCACACAAGACAGGCTCTAGAGCAATGTGGATATCCTAACTGGGCCTTCCTGAAAGCAGAGAAGAAACCCAAACAGGACTCCAGTCAGCCAACAGGTGAAAAGGAGGAACCCAGACCCAGACCAGTGGTCATTCCATATGTTGAGGGAGTATCAGAGAAACTGAGACGTTTATTTTCTAAACATAACGTCCCAGTGGCTTTTAAACCCCAAAATACATTAAAGACTGGTTTGTCCCAAAGATCCAGTCCCCCGGAACAAATAGAGTAATATTGTGTATGCTGTTCAGTGTCAGGAGGGTGATCAGCCTTACATCGGGGAAACTAAACAACCACTGGCCAAAAGGATGGACCAGCACAGAAGAGCAACAACATCAGGCCAATTCATTCGTGCTCATCTATTCACACAGTCTCATGTTCGTGCTGTTGTTATCTGCGTATTGTTTTTGCACTAATAATTGTTTTGTGTATTCTTAGTTCATATCGGAGTCAAGGAGGCCATCTTTGTAAAGAGAAACTGTCCATCATTAAACAGGGGCGGAGCCTCCGTGTCCATCTGTCCCCCTCTTTCAATGATATTATTTTTAGTATCACTCAGCCCCCTGTGAACACCAAGCGGCCATCAGGGTGCTAATGATCGGTCATTAGGCTGATGGTCCTTGATCATGTGAACAGCTAGTTCTGGATGTCACCAGCAAACTGGGTGATCCACTATGAGAAGGTGATATTTATAAGAATGAGTTTGTTGCAGCTTCTCTGACTGAAGAAGTCTTTTGGATAAAAGACGAAACGTTTCAACATCTGTTTTGAATCCATCCAGAGAACCTGATTTCGCTTTGTTGGATTTTTCTACCTGGATTATCGAGCATGAATCAGGACACTAAACAAATAGTTTTTCTTGCTTATTAAAGTATTACATTAGAAAAATAAACCCCCATTTTAACAGAACTTCTTCATTTGTACACTTCATGTTGGCAAACAAGGTTCCCTTTTCTATTTTCTCAAAAATAGAAGATTAATAAAAACGTCCTTGCTTAAAGCTTCTATTCTAAACTCATAAAAACCCATCGAAAAATATTTATAAAGCAAAAAAATTAATTTAAAACATTTATTTCAAGCTACAATACTTGCCAAAGAAGTTTATATGTAAGTTTTTTAACTTTTGTGTTGGATTCTTTAAGATTTTGTAATAAAAAAAAATAAAAAAAAATTGCTCAAATTATTGAATGATTAACTTGAAATAGCTTGAAAATCAGTTTATCTTTGTCTTGTTTAGAAATTCACAATAGCAGGACATTTTTTTCTGCAAGTGGCCATATGTTTTGTGTGTGAAAAGCATAAGTCTGGTTACCTTGGTGACCACAGACAATCTCAATACGACATAATTGGAGTCTGCACCACTGGACGACTTGGCTTCAATGGTCAGAGTGACATCAGTGCCTGACTGCGTGCTGGCAGGTGCAGTGATGAACAATGTATCGTTGGCAGCTTGTCCAGTCGTCAGGGTGAGGCTGTCAAGAGAAGAAAAAAATGCATTTTTAAGACAAGTTTAACAGTATTTGTGAAAATCAGAGATAACGTAGCTGCCTTAGTGGGCAACATGGGCCTATGATACATTTGGATGAAGAACGGGGATAAAGTGTATCATAAGTTGTATTTTGACTGGTAAATGGGGTGTGACTTCTTACTGATGTACATTAATTTAATCCCAATGAACAGGTAACCAACAGAAATATGCAATTAAGAATTAAATTTAAGGATGGCACAGAGGTCATTGCTGTAGCCTCACAGAAAGAAAGTTGCATGCTCAATAATCCAATTATATAATCCAACAATTTTCAGTCAGGTCAACTGGACAGTTTCTTTTTTTGTTGCTGAAATGTATCACCTTCCATCCGGAAGGCTTCATCAGTCAAGGAAACACAAAACTGATTCTTTCCCCAAACAGCTTACTCCAAAGTGGAACAAACCAGTTATGTTGGTGCTAAAATGGTGTCTTTGGCACGCCCCCCCTCCTCAGTTGCCAGCCCTCTTCCTCGTCGACAGTCATGTCAAATTGGTTCAAAACCAAAAAAGTCCATGCTCAGTTTTGTGTTGTGTGTTTCTTTGACTGATGAAGCCATCCGTATGGAAGGTGAAACGTTTCAGCAAAAAAAAGAAACTGTCCAGTTGACCTGACTGAAAATTGCTGGATTGTATACCTGGATTATTGAGCATGGACAGACTGTCGATGAGGAAGAGGGCTGTCAACTGAGGAGGGGGGCGTGCCAAAGACACCATCTTAGCACCAAGATAACTGGTTTGTTCCACTTTGGAGTAAGCTGTTTGGGGGAAGAATCAGTTTTGTGTTTCCTTGACTGATGAAGCCTTCCAGATGGAAGGTGAAACATTTCAGCAAAAAAAAAGAAACTGTCCAGTTGACCTGACTGAAAATTGTTGGATTATATAATTTGATTATTGAGCATGGACTTTTTGGTTTTGAACATGTTTGACATAACTGTCGACGAGGAAGAGGGCCGGCAACTGAGGAGGGGGCGTGCCAAAAATACCATCTTAGTACCAACATAACTGGTTTGTTCCACTTTGGAGTAAGCTGTTGGGGGAAGAATCAGTCTTGTGTTTTGTGTTTCCTTGACTGATGAAGCCTTCTGGATGGAAGGTGAAACATTTCAGCAAAAAAGAAACTGTCCAGATGACCTGACTGAAAATTGTTGTATAGTATACCTGGATTATTGAGCATGGACTTTTTTGCTATATGGCAGACTTTATTGATAATGTATTAAAACGGTATATTCTCATCCCAAAATAATTTGGTTTATTCAGAAACATTTAACAAAGTAACCACTTTCAGAGGCAGCATCTTACGTCTTTTGGGACGTCATGGGAAAGTTTCTGTCATTCCTGGCATTGATGGTGTATGTACCACCAGAACCCTGTGTCATCACACTGATGGGGAGCTTAAATGTTTTTCCTGGCTCCACACTGCTGTCCACCACAGCCTATTAGAGAAGTACAACAGATGGTTGAAAAGGACCGATGTCATTCATATGTACCTAAAACAGTCAGAATTCTTACAAATATCCAATTATTTCAATCTGAATATTCAGTTGTCATTTTATGGTGTGTGTTATTCAAGCCAATGTTGTAAGAGGACCTAAAGGGAGGTGAAACAACAGACCTGAATATCCACTTTGGAGACAGACATCTGGGTGGTTGACTGCCTCTGAAATTCACTGTTTGACACTTTGTCTGTTCCTTTCAGAACAACCACAAACTCCCCCTCAGGAACCGCATCAACAGTGACCAGGATGTCTCCATCACCCGTGTCAGTGATTTTTCCGTTGGTTACAGCCTCAGGACCAGACACAATTACCAAACCGACTTCTTTAACAGTTATTGAAGACGGTCCTTTTCTGCCAATTACTGAGAGCATCAGGGTGACAGGCTGTCCTGGTTTACAAAAACATACATGTGATTGGATATATCTTTTACATTCTGGTAATTCACAACATTGCCACTGTCATGTTCTAGACAACTACACACTTTCTCAACATAGATGCTGCTGCTGTAGCAGTAAATGTTTTTCTAGTGCAACTTCTTTTATGGGTATAGTTGGGATTTTTTTAAATGAAAGACAGTGTACCTGCTGGCGGACGTCCACTGACTACAGCATAACCTGGGTGGGGTCCTCCAAATTTTTCCACAAAATCGTAAATAAATGTAATGATGCTTTGGCCTGAAAACAAAAACACTTGCAGTTAATACAGATGGGCGGCTGTGGCTGAGTGGTTAGAGCAGTCGTCCTCCGATGCAAGAGTTGGGAATTTGAATCCATCAGCAGCCACATGCCGAAATGTCCCTGGACAAGACACTGAACCCCTCATTGCCTCCGATGTGTGTCCCATCGGTGTATGAATGTGATAAAGCACTGATTAGTCTCTTTAGAATGATTTGTTCCATTAGCTTTGTAGAGATCTAGTAGAGTGTTGTATGAATGGGTAAATGAGGCACAGACTGAGTTGTAAAGAGCTTTGAGTATATTGATAAGACAGAAAGGTGCTATATAAGTACAGTCCATTTACCATTTACAAATGATCAATGAAAACTAATTCAGCCACACAGCAACCATAAATACTGGTAAATAATTTCTTGAAACCATGGATACAGTACACTTAATATAAATGTTTTATCTTGGGGTGTTTTTGAATCTGATGTAGAAAGTTTAATGCTAAATGTTTGGTTTTGCTCCACAGGTTGGATGTGACATAGAGAAAAACAGAAATTTTGGAAGGATCTAGACTAGAGGAAGTGATAGAGAGTATTCCCAGGGAAGAGAGAGTGGTGATCGGAGTAGTCCTGAGTGGACATGTTGGTGAAGGAAACAGAGGGGATGAGCACGTGATGGGTAGGTTTGGTGTCAAAGAAAGAAACCAGGAAGGACAAATGGTTTGGATTTTGCCAAGAGAATGGAAATGGCTGTAGTCAACACTTATTGGATGAAAGAGTACACAGGTAGACTACCGTACATCCTGTGTAGAAGAGGAAATCTGAGGAAGATGGGAGAGTATAAGGTTGTGGCAGGGGAGAGTGTGGCCAGACAGCATAGGGTGGTTGTGTGTAGAATGACTGTTGTTGTGAAGAAGAGAAACATAGTAAAATCAGAGAAGAAGACCAAATGGTGAAAGCTGAGGAAACAAGAATGTTGTGATTACAGAAATGAGATGTTGAAAGGTCTGGGTGGTAAGAAAGAGCTTCCAAATGACTGGGCTACTACAACATCAGCAATTAGAGAGACAGGTAGGAAGGTACTTGGTGTGTCATCTGGACAGAGAATGGATGATAAGGAAACCTGGTGGTGGAATAGTGAAGTGCAATAAGCTGTTCAAAAGATAAAGGGACATTCTGTTCAATTTAACTTAATTGAACAGAATGCCCCTTTGTCTGGTGGACACAAATACTGTATATAATCAGGTCTCTCTTGTGAATGAGTCCTCAAGGCTCAATGGGATTTACCTGTCTAAATAAAGGTTGAATGAACGAATATATAAAGCAAACAAACAGTAGCTTACCTGTGACTTTGAGTGTGTACAGCTGATTGGAGTTGATGTTGATCTGCCAGGTTCCTGACTGCTTGTCAGAGTTGAGACGGATTCTCCAGAGGTTTCCCACTGTCTTAATAGTCCCCAGTTTACCATTGGCCTCATTCTGATTCTGGCTCACTCCTGTAATATTTAACATTAGTTGTTTTATTGTTCCAGGTGGATTAACACTTATTCTAAATCACCTGCACTGTGTTTGGATCTGTGAGTTACCTGCAGGGTTTGTCAGTGTAAAAGTTACGGATGTTCCCGTAATGTAGATTGTGATATTTTTCAGTGATTCATCCAGCATGAAGGGGAATGTCTCTGCACTACCACTGCTCCTTGCTCGCTGAAGTACTGTCACCTGGAATGGAGGATGGGTTGAGACAAATGTTTGATTTACGTCTCAGTTCATTAAACCAGTCCCAAGGCCTGGTCCATGCTTCAAACAGAAAATAGATGCAGAGTGACATAATCTTGCCAGGGCTGAAGTTGACGTGTCAAGAATAATGTCTGTGGCCTGAGACAGCTGGGCCTTGGACACCTGGATGGCCTGGCCTCCAGATGCCAAAGCTAAGTCCTGGTAGTCTCTAAAAGAAGCAGTTAAGATAGAACGACGACGCCTTCTGAAGACTGCAGTCAGAAAGAACGACACCTATGAAGATATGTTAATAAGATTTTATTAAACTTAACTTCAACTACTTGGACTGTATGAACAATGATTTCTATTCAATACAAATCTGTATTTACCGTTGACTTGGAGCTTCTCATGAGAGCAAATATAGTGTCCTTCAGGGCAATGTCTTTGGCGAGAGCATCAGTGAAAACATAGATTTCAGATGAGGGAGGGGCACCAGTGAGAGCCAACTGGCGGAAAAATATACAGTTACGATTCATTTCTCTATTATTTTGACAAACTACTTTAAAAGCTTTCCAGTTATACAATAAAGATGTCAGAGCCCATTGTAGTACCTGAAGTCCTGAGAGGCACATCTCTGGATCATCCCCTCCACCATTTGCTTTGAGCTTAGAGATTTCAGTTTTCATTTTTTCAGGGTCAGTTGTCCTGATCAGAGGTCCAAAATCTACAAAACCGCAAAAAAGTGAAGCAACAATATTAACCTATGACTCAAAGTTTTGAATTAATGCAGATTTATTGTATTCACCTCCATAAGACAACTCTACATTTCAATATATCCACTAGTAAAGCAGTGGTAACATGAAGAATCAATCTGGCTCTGTAGATGAGTTCCTAACAGGAATAGCAAAGTAGAGTCGTTCATACCTGGATCATTGAAAGGCACAAGGATATACTCGGAAGGCTCATCCTGCGTTCCTTTTTTGCTGTCAATGATTTCACTGCACACCGATCTAGCTTCTTCTATGTCGTCTGACATGCTGCCCGTGGTGTCAATCACAAAGGACAACACAGATGAGCGAGCAATCCCCATCATCCTGTGAGAAAGGGCACCATATTGTTATTTTCTCACAACATACAACTTTAGACTTTCTATTTGTATAAGGATAGATTATTTTAAAATCACGTTGTACCTTAGAAAGTTCCGGTCTCCTGCGGCTGAGCGGATGTCCTCCAACAGCTGGATGCTGGCAGCTGTGGCGGTTTTTATAGCAGCTTCATGGAGAGCCACATTGTCTGAGCGACGCTCATCTTTGCTGATGCCTCCTCGAGGAACTTTGGCGCTGGTAAGATCTTCTTCACCTCCATGGCTGCACTTACCTGAGGGAGAGAGAAAAACTTGTCAAGCAGCTACAATCTACTCAGATGTGGTTTTATAGATTTAATGACTCACAGGAAAAGTTTAATCATGTTTGATGTGTTGATACAATAAATTTACAATTTATATACATTTCATGCATGTCTGGAAAAACCTCATTTAGTCAATTAATACTAACTGTTATAAAACTAATGATGGATTAATAATCATAGGAGTTGAATGAACAGTTGGAAGCAGTTGCCTCTAGTAGGGTCTTCCATGGCAGACTGGTCCTACGAACAGGGTATGCAACAAGGATCTCAATGTTCCTAGCCAAAATGTGGGTTACTGGGGCCCCACCCAGGGCCAGGCTTGAGTGAGGGTCTCACTGTGAGCACCTGGTGACCAAGCTTTAATCCATGGAGCCTGGCTGGGTCAGAACAAATAACTTGCAAAGATTTACCTTTTTGTGGGCCCGCCACTTGCAGGCGGGGGCATACGAGTCAAGTGTATGACACGTATGGCTTGTTTAGTTTTTGCTGTAACACACTTTGGTTGGTTTTCTTGCTGTTTTAAGTGCTTTATAAATACAATGGTATGGTATGGTATGGTATGGTATGGTATGGTATGGTATGGTAAGTGCATGGTGCCATGAGCAATAGCCAATGCAGGGACCTTGGTGCTCTGATCCTGGCTTACCAATGTGAGCTCTTGGGACTGGATGCCATCTTTTTATTGGGAAAGAAGCCTGTGCTTGTTCATGAGGTTGAGAGGTACTGACTAAATATAGTCTGGCTCACCTTGTGAGCTCTGGAACCAATGTGCTTGTGAGGGTATGGACTCTATTCCACTCTACAGTTGCCCATCAGGAGAGGTGTTGGACTGGTGTGAGCTTACAGTTAGCCCCCGGCTTGGTGCCCTGAGCATTGGAGTTTTCCCTGATGGATGAGAAGATAGATTCCCTGTGCCTTTGGGTGGGGAGACAGGCTTTGAATGTTGTTTGTGCATATGTGCCAAACAGCAGTTTGGAGTACCCAGCCTGAGTCCTTAGCAGAAGTGCTGGAAGATGCTCCACCTAGGGACTCCTTTTAAGGGATGCCCCCTGGGTGCCTCCCTAGGGATGTGCTTCAGCCAGTTGCCATTTCCAACTGGGAGAAAACCCAGGACATGCTGGAGAGACTACATCTCGCGGTTGGCCTGGGAACGCCTTGGGGTCCTCCCAGAAAAACCGGAAGAGGTGGCTGTGGAAAGAGCTGTCTGGGCCTCCCTGTTCAAGCTGTTTACCCTGCGACCCGACTTCGGAACAAGCAGAAGATAATGGATGGATGGATGGATGGATGGATGGATGGATGGATGGATGGAAGGTTACATTCCACCCTGAAGGGCAATTAAATTTTATTCTTTAAAGATAAATAAAAGAAAAACACATTATACCTTCAGGTTTTGCAGAAGAGAAGATTCCCATGTAGCCTGATGTGAGTTTTTTCTCCATCAGAATATCGGGGAGGATCTGATTCTGGCATGTTTTGCTTGCACAGTCGCTGCAGGTGGGAGTGTTCACATCTGCACAAGACAAATGTATAAAGCAACTTGGGTGAGCACCTCTAATCTCTTCCTTCATTTAACTACTAATTTATTAACTTAAAAAAAAAACACTTTAAAAAGCATCTCAGGATGTTTGTATTCAAAAGTTTATAACTTCTGCTTTTTGGTCACCCAATAAAAAAACAGAATTATAGAAAGCAGCATTAAGACACACTTACTTGCCAGATTTTCCAGAGGGAGGTCTGGTCGTATGAGGTTGATATATGGCTCTGTGTATCCCAGCTCCACCCAGTTACTGTGACTGTAGAAGTCCTGATAATTAATGAGCATGTGCTTTATAAAAAAATCTATTTGCCTTTAAATATCTGCATTTAGCAAGTTTTCGTCAATTTTTTTATTAAATTTCACTACCTATAAAATACTGAAAGGTTGTCGACAAAATACATTTAAGGTATGGTTTTTACAAACATTTTCAGAATTGGGACGAGTTTACTTAACCACTTAACAAAACGAAACAACTTGTAGCCATTTTTAGGTTCTTATGTACCGTACTTTCTGCCGTATATGTCGCACCGCCGTGTAAGTCGCATCAATCCAAATATGTCTAATAAAGTGGAAAAACATAAATATATCACTTTGCCATATACATCGCATCTATTAAGCATCACTGCTGAAGCGTCATGTTTGTTATGCGTCACTGCTGACCATCCAGAAACGTGGGCCGGTGTTGTGCCAAAAATCGATTGTCTGCCAAATGGCAGTCACGGGACCGTGCACGGGAGGACTTTAACAAGATTAACACTTAAAAACAATTTGTTTGCTCGCCATTATAGTAAAGGTGTGTCTCAGTTGAATTTTTCCTTAATAAATGCACTTTAACGCCTGGGCGGTGCGGTGAAATGCAGCTGATTTGATGTTTGCTCAGGAGTTCCGGAGCGAGACGAAGGTGACTTTGTATGGCAAGCAAAGTGTTTCATTAATAGCCACTCTTAACTATTAATGAGACACTTGGCTTGCCATATTATTTGTGCGCCCTCTAGCGGCTGAAAATGGTAGTGTTCAATATTTTTCATGTCAGAATGAATGAAATCGGCAGATCTCAGCCAAAACTTGGGTTATAAATATGGGGAAAAAAGTTGCTTTGCTGTATAAGTCGCAGAGCATGCTAATTTAGGCAAAAAAGGTGCGACTTTTACTGTGAAAGTACGGTACCTAAGCTCTTCCCCTCACCTGTAATGTATGAAGGATTCTGCCCAGTGTTTCCCTAGCAGCCTTGAAGTTATCCTCTCGGATGTTAGCCTTAATCGCCAACATGCCCTCCATGATGAGGCCACGGCCCTCCAAGAAGGCTTCAGAGTGGAAGTGATGTGGAGCACTGAGGGATGTTTTCCACAAAAAAGATGTATTTTAGAGATATATAAATTATGGTCTCTTTTTATTCTTCTTCTACTTTACCTGTTGACAAAGTCCATGTCTATCAGCCCATTCTGGAGCGTGATCTCTCTAAGAGCAGAGCGAAATTTGGCACCAGACACTTCTCCTTTTGCTGTGGGACCTAAACAAGCTTGGATGAGCTCCTGCTGAGATGGACCCTGGAGGACAAAATAAGAGCTTAAAACATCATAAATAAAAGGGTGAATTGAAACTTACATTGAATTTTAACCTTGTAAAACAAGTTACTTGTATTTATGTTGTGCTTTCTGATTTGATCCTTTGTTTTTTAACAATGTGATTTATTTTCCAACTTACCGTGGGGTTGAAAACCTCGCCAGTTTCCTCAACCATTATCCTACACGTCTCTTCGATTACTTTCATAAGAGCCATTTTTGTAATAGACTCATGGGTGGATGCCCCTCCCCCGATCGGAGCAAAGGCCACGGTGGGGCCTGGTAGAGCCAAAACGAGCAGGGCTACACCCAACAACGAAGCCATGATGACTCTGCAGTGAAAAAAATATAATGAATAATAATATTGTTAATATTGGAACACAGACAACTGAGTAATATTACTCAGCATTAAAATGATCAGCTATTTGTTTTTGACTAACTGAAATAAACTGTTCCAGAAGAGTTATAAAGATGATTAGAAGTTTTGAGTCAAGAGGGGTTGAAAGACAAAAACAAACAACGTACACATTTATTATTCTGTTTATTAATTTAAAAGAAATTTAAGCTTGTGAAGTAAAAACTCATCCATCCATCTATTATTTTTACCCGTTTCTACTTTTTCAGGTCAAAGGGGTCACTGGTACCCAAGTCCAGCCATCACTGTGTGAGAAGCGGGGGCACCCTGGACAGGTCTCCAGTCCATCACAGGGACACAGGGACACAGAGACAAATGAGACAAACAACCATTCACTCTCTCTCTCTCACCTAGGGACAATTTAGAGTTACCAATCAGCCCGGCTGGGATTTGTTCCGGCGACCTTCTCACTGAGAGGCAGCAGCTGTACCAACTGCGCCACCGTGCCGCCCGAAGTAAAAAATAAAAACAAAATGTAGTGTTTGCTGACAAATGATAATTTATTGCATGCAATGGTGAACAACATCAAGATTCATGCTCAATAATCCAGGTTATAAAATCCAACAATGTTCAGGCAGATCATCTGGAACGGTGAACGAGTTTATCTGTGGGGGTGACACAGTGGCATGATGGTAAGAGATGTTGCCTCGCAGCAAAAATGTCGCAGGTTTGCATCTCAGCCTTTCTGGGTGGATTTTGCATGTTCTCTTTTTGCACACGTGGGTTTTCTACGGTTACCTCACACAGACCAAAAACACGCATGTTAGGTTAACTGGTAACTAAACTGTCCCTAGGTGAGAGAGTGAATAGTTGTTTGTTTTGTTTGTCTCTATGTGTCCCTGTGATGGACTGGAGACATGTCCAGGTGACACTGTGATGGGCTTGAGACCTGTTCAGGGTGTACCACCCAGTCTCACCTTGTGACTGCAGGAGGTAGGCACCAGCTGTCCCACGTCCCAGAAAAGAAAAAGCACATAAAGAAAATGGATGGATTGGTTTACTTGGGTCATGTGATGCTAGCTCCAGCCACAAAGGTGCAGCAGAGTACAGTTTACATGTAAACATGAGATGAGACATCAGGATTAGGCTTTTCGAGTTCAAGTCTTCAAATCAGAATTACTGAAGTTTGACCACCGCTGTGAATAATTAAATTTAATCAAAATCTGACTTCCACTTTGATCGACGGCCTCATCAGCACTATTGTATATGTGCCGCTATTTTTACACTCTCTCTCTCTGTCTCTGTCTCACTTACACACACATGTGCACACACACACACATGTGCACACACACACACAGGCTTTGAAATAATGTAGGCCACCGCAGCATGGGATTATCATAAAGGCAGTTCTTATTAGAAGGGAAAAGATCACAGAATGAAGATTGAGAGACAAGCCGGAATTAAACATCAAGTCGAGATGATAAATATTCAACAATTTACCTCCAACATAGGAAACCAATTTAAAAAAAAGGAGGACGGAGGAAGCAACTGAAGATGTTACATTACTAGACTTTACAGTTTCAAACAAAAACTAACAAATTCAGAAAAAAATCTTTCATTTCTTAGTTTTTTGTTTAATCAGAATTCTGACAATGAACTGTGTCGCTATTCCTTTAGGAGTATCTAATTTCCAATTTGAAAATTCTCATAATGAGCACATTCTTGGTAAACAAAAAGATGAAAAAGATTCACTCTTTGAATTTAATTTGAACAGTAAAAAGCAATATGTGGATGGAAAAAAATGTTTTTTATTTTATTCTTAGGGAATTTATTGGTCTACCGTACTTTCTGACATAAACATTGTGCTGTCGTATAAGTCGCATCAGTCCAAATATGTCCAATAAAGTGGAAAAGAACATAAATAAGTGGCTTCGCTGTATAGGTCGCATCTATTATGCGTCACCGCTGACAACCTGGAAATGTGGATCGGTGTTGTGCCAAAAATTGATTGTCTGCCAAATGGCGGCTGCAGGAGCATGCACATGAGGACTTTAACAATAATTTAACAAGATTAACACTTAAAAACAATTATTTGTTTGCTCGACATTATAGTAAAGGTGTGTCTCAGTTGAACTTTTCCTTAATAAATGCACTTTAACGGTCAAATCAGCTGCATTTCTCCTGGGCGGCGCAGCAAAAATGTGGCTGATTTGACGTTTGCTCCAGGAGTTCCGGAGCGAGACGAAGGTGGTTTGGTATGGCAAGCCGTGTCTCATTAAATGCCAATTTTACCTATTAATGAGACACTCGGCTTGCCAAATTGCTCCAGGGCCCTCTAGCAGCTGCAAATAGTTATGATTAATATTTTTCATGTCAGAATGAATGAAATCATTAGATCTCAGCCAAAAATTGGTTTATAAATATGGGGGGAAAAACATTTATTAGTCGCTTCGGTGTATAAGTCGCAGGACTTGTAAATGTATACAGAAAAGAGAGACTTATACAGCAAAACATACGGTAATGCAGAAGATTTGACTTAGAATCTGAATGAAAAAATAAGGAAAATACTGAAAGAGCAGGAGAGCAGCGTGAACATCCGGTGACAGAAAATGTTAAGAATGATGTTGCCAGAGTGATTGTGACAAACAGTTGATAAAATATAAAGTTAAAGAGCGAGCAGGAAAATAGAAAGAAAGGGCAGCGGGCGTTTTGTCCAAAGGACTGAATGTTCAGCTGCTGTCCTGAGAAAATTTACAAAGATGATATATATCAGTCATTTTCTTTCAGTCATAATTCTAAAAAAAAAACAAGCGTAATAACTTTCAGTAAACAGAAACAATGTCAACAGCCTACTTGACCTATTATTTAAGCAAATGCTGGAATTTAAGTGACTGTTTCCCTCTGCTGCACAAGTTCATAAAAATGTCAATTTAAAAACATATTTCTGAAATTTAAACTAGAACACAAAACATTTAAACGATTAAACGAGCATTCTTAACAGAATGCGTATCGCTTACTGACTTGTATGCCGAAGTAAAAAAAAAAAAGAAAGATCTTTGTGCTTAAAGTGCATGATGGGGATGACTCTCAGCTACTACCACACTAAAATCTGTATAAAGGGTTCAGAGGAGCGTGGATTTAAAGAATAAGCACATATATTTGGCATTGTTTAAATAAAATGAACAGAAATGCATTGTACATGAAAAAAGGACAACTACACACAAAAATACCACAAACACAAAAGACCACAAGCACAGACACACAAAACCCAACATGCACACAAAAACAAAGTTGCAGAAGAAGAAAATTAAAGAGAAAAAATTGCATAAACCACAAGACACTTGGATCAGTCGGCAGGGAGGCCATCCATGGATTAGAGGGTTGTGGGTTTGATCCCCAGTTTTTTTCAGCATTGTAGCCACTTGAGCACTTCATGCTCAACTTTCCTTGGGAAATACATTGACACCACACACACACACACACACACACACACTCCCTGAGACATAAAATGTGCTTTGTATAGTGTGTAAAAAATGTAATTGAAAGCACTGTTTGTGTTCTGCAGAATTAGTAAAAGGTGATATTTAACTTTAAAATTAAGTAAAATTTAAAAAATGGCTGTGACCCCCGAAGACCTTAAAGAGACCACTTGATTTATTCATTTTTGTTTTAATTAAAACTACTGAAAATGTTTCCTAGTAATCATCAAGCTGCTAAATATTTAGTTTAAACCAACATTAAGAAGAACAAAATGTAAATTTTACCGCTCGTAGCCACGACTCATGGCCATTTCATAAAAACTACTACAAAAAGTGTTTGTTTTCCCGAAGACAGTTTTTAATCAATAAATATCCAACTTCTTCATCAATAACTTCTAACCAAGAGAATGTTTCACCACAAAGAATTAATGTCAGCGTATGATTCCCGTAGTGGCCGGCGGCCATTGGGTGGAGTTTGCATGTTCTCTCCGTGCTGTGTGGGTTTCCTCCCACAGACCTAAAACATGCACGTCAGGTTGATTGGCAACTGTCCCAAAGGTTGTTTGTCTCGTTTGTCTCTATGTGTCCCTGTGATGGACGGGAGACAGGGTGTCCTCCGCCTCTCGCACAATGACTCCAGTGTACCCAAAGGAACTCAAAGATGAGCCACTAAAGCAACGGCCACACTGCAGTTCTTTTTTTAAAATGGGTAAGTGTGATTTAGTGAGATTAGTGCAATTCATTTACTCGCAGGAAGTGAGTCGGTGACTTGTGTAAATTTTCAGAGCAGTTTCTTCACCTTCAGTTCAAACAAAGTACAAACTTCCCCTCCGGCTCTTCCTCAGCGAGAAGCCATTAACCTTCCTATTGTGTCGTAGTCTAGCTGGACCTTTATACAAGTTGGCTTTTGTTCCTAAAAAACAAACATATTAAGAGTCTTCTCCTGTTATTTGATATACACACACAATTGTAGACTTTGTCTGCACAGATAATGTGAACGGTCACAGTTTTAAAGTTTTGTGTGTTTTATTCAACTTTCTTTCACCCTTGGTGTCCCAATTAAAAAAATGGCAGATCGTTAGAAATGTGTGACAGACATTGGCTGAATAAAAGATGGTAAATTGAAGTTTGTGACACAGCTACAGCTGCAGTCCGTGTTCTGTAAATTGTATAAGTGTAACTTATAGCATGACAGCTCAGTGGTTATGTTGCCTCACAGCAAGAAGGTTCTGGGTTCAATCCCCGGTTGGACCTGGGGTCTTTCTTTTGCATGTTCTTCTCGCGCATGCGTGGGTTTTCTCCAGGTACTCCTGTTTCTTCCCACAGACCTAAAACATGCATGTTAGGCTGCCTTCAGGTCCAGGCCTCCCTGATCGGACCAATTTCTGTGGATCCACTTGGTTCCACAGGGGAACTTTAGATGTTCTCTGCCTGCTGGACCCGGTTCTGGAGGGTGGTCTGAGAGGCAGCTGCTGCGGTCCTCCTTATTATCATCATGCTGCTGAAGGGACATGCTTACAAGACCTGCTAATGCTGTTAACAACACCATGTCATTAACAGTATCATGCTGCTAACTGGACCATGTTGCTAAGATAACCTCACTGTCATCAGAACCGCTCTGCCATTACGACCATGCTGCTGTACGTTTATTTCTTTTCATTTATTTTTCACTATTGGCGCCACGTTTCTGTATTTTTGTTGCATGCTTTGATTAAATCCCAGTTTATGTTAGTGCTCGCATTAAGCGTGTAAATGATAGCCGAACAGAACCTATGAGAATCGTGCTGCTGTTGTTTGGTGTTCTGCTTTGCACTATTAGTGACTGACATATGCCTTAGATCTTTTGGCGTATATCTTAGTTTATATTTTAGATCCTTACTTACTGCTTCTTTTTAGACTTTATATTTTTGCTATTGTTGGATGTTACTGGGACCCTGAGTACACAATTTCATTCCACTAGATGTACCACATGTGATGCGAATGACAAATAAAGAAACTCTGACTCTCTGAAATACATAAACACAGAATTGTTCCCCAAGTTCTATTTGTTCCACTGTACTGTACAGCATGATGTAGAGGGTGAACGGATATTTTAAACAGCGTAACTGGCTACATTTAAGGCCCTTTTAAATTACTTCCTGGTTCGACAGTGGTTTGTTGTGATTGGCTTGTTTTTGTTGTGGGCGTGGTCGTAATGATTTCCAAAGGTCTCCGGTCTAAATGGTTGGAGCATTGCTAAACGGTAAACAATAATTTTGTGTAACCTGCAAACTCACAATTAAGTTTTGTCATAAATGAAGCTAAAACTCTCATGCTTGATTTACGCCACATCTTAGATTCAAAAACTGTCTTATATTTTACTTTTACTTTATAAATGCTTTGGTCTTAAATGCTTAAAATGTTTGAATCCAGATGCTTTTAATTATAATCAAAGTAGTAAAACTTGACACAACAGAACTAAATATCTATTAAAACCAGATAAATTCCAAGATATACTCACCACAACTGGACCAGGATTTCTGTGGAGCTGAAAAAATGTTTCTAAAAGAAGTTCCCGGTGTTTTATATGAAAAGAGTTACACAACTTGTTCCTTTTTTCCCCTAGGCAGATTGACTCCCCCGGTAAAGTCTGGAGCCAAAGTTTCGTTTGTCCTCTGCTGTGTCACTCTACATGCAATGGAATGAAGATCCTGCTGCTCAGTGTGACTCGCAGTGTTTTATTCTGGAGGAAGGGGAAGTTATAAAAAAAAAAAAAAATTCTTGTCCCATCTGAAAAGCTCATGGTCAAATGGAATTTGTGCATCTGTGAAAAAAGCCCATCACTTGTTTCCTGTCACAGAGACAAAGTGTAGCCTTGTTTTAAAGAGTGAAAGTGAAACTTCCCAGCTTTAGACCACCGTTACAAAACTTGGGCATTTCCAGTTAATGAATATTTACAACCCTGCTTTTGGAAAAAATATGGGGATGTTGTGATAAACGTAAAAAAACAAAACAGAATGCAATAATTTGCAAATGTTTATCCATCCACCCATCAATTCTTTTTCTTAACCCACTCTCCTGTCAGGGTCTTGGGGGTCTATCTCCAGCAGTCACGCTACGAGATGTGGGGGACGCCCTGGACAGGGTCCAAGTCCATCACAAGGTCAAATTATGTCAATTTATTCATATAGCTTATTAAAAACAACAAATGTTGACCAAAGTGCCTTACAGTTCAGTCTAATGAAGATGTAAAACTACAATAAAAACAAGACGAGACAAGACATCTTGTGTCATCAAGAAAACACGGATAAACAATCCATCCATGCATCCATCCATGCATCTATCCATGCATCTATCCATGCATCCATCCATGCATCTATCCATGCATCCATCCATGCATCCATCCATGCATCTAGAGAGCATTCTTAACAGATGCCCGAACCACCTCAACTGGCTCCTCTCCATATGGAGGAGCAGCGGTTCTACTCCGAGTCTCTCCCAGATAACTGAACTTCTCACCTGATCTCTAAGGGAGAGTCCAGCTACCCTGCAGAGGAAACTCATTTAAACCGCCTGTATCCACAATCTCATTCTTTCAGTCTCTACCCAGAGTTCGTGACCATAGGTGAGGGTAGGAACGTAGACCGACCGGTAAACAGAGAGCTTTGCCTCACAGCTCAGCTCCCTCTTCACCACAACGGACCAGCACAGAGTCCGCAATACTGCAGACGCTGCACCATTCCATCTGTCAATCTCACGCTCCGTTCTTCCCTCACTCACCCTCGACCCCAAGAGGACCACAGGCAGTGGCCGAAGGAGGGGGTCTTGGCGCTCTGACCCTGGCCTAACAAATGAATAAACAAAATAAAATAAATTGCATAAACACGCTATAAAATACATTCAGCTCTAACTGAACCTCAAACTTTGCCTGAATCAAAAGCCAAAGCTAAAGGATGAGCCTTGAGCAAAGATTTAAACGCCTCAACAGTCTCAGTGGATCATACGTAACCAGGTCAAGTGTTCCACAGTTTTGGAGAAACGGCAGAAGCCCGGTCACCACCGTGTTTCAGTTTGGATCCAGGAATGTCTGAGAGAAACCGGATGGTAGACCGGAGTGCTCTCACTGGAGTGTAGATGTTTAGGAGATCACATAAGTATGATCCGGTCAGACGTTTGAAAACTTTAAAAGCAAGCGGTAAGATCTTAAAATCAATTCGTAAGTGGACAAGAAGCCAGGACCAGGGTTATGTGTTTTTTAGTCCCTATTAAAAGACACGCTGCTGCGTTTTGGACAACTTGTAAGCGATGCCAACGTGATCTATCCGAACCACCGCACAAAGCCCTACAGCAGTCCAGTGAAGAATTAAACATGAACAACTTTTTCAAAGTCTTTAGTGGGAGATGTGACCTTGAGTTTCAACAATATCCTGTGGGATCAATAAGTTCTATTTTATTTTATCTTTTATAAGATGAGCGACCATTCACACCTAGAGACAACACAGGGTTACCAGTTAACCTAATGAGCTTGTTTTTGTCTGTAGGAGGACACAGGAGTACTGTGAGGAAATCAACGTGTTCATGTTTATTCAAAGAAACGCTCCGGGACAGGAGGTGATCCTGCAATCTTCTCGCTGAGAGGGAACAGCTCTAACTGCTGCATCGTGCCCTCTAACTTTCATTAATTCATATTTTATTAATGGTGGAACATGGTAAACATGTTGAGGGAGAAAAAAAGTCTATTTAAAATTTATGATAGAAACAAATCTAATTTACGCCGTTCTGATTTGTTCACACTTTACAAAACGTCCCCTCTCTTTTAGATTTGGGGTTGCAGGTGTTCGAACAGAGCACACCAGCTCTCTGAAGATAGTTGTCCCGTGTCCAAACATCTACATAATTTACATTAAACCAAATATTTTTTTATAAAAAGTGTGAACGTTTATGAAGCATTCATTCTTTTGTGATCCATTTTTCTTTCCTACATTTTTTTTGCATCTTTCTCGTTCCACCGTTTTTGTGTTATTTCAACAAATCATAATCAAAACGTTCAGCTCTTTCAGGACAATCCTGCTATGGCTTTTGGTTTCGGTGCAACTTTAACTTTTTGAAATATTTAGCCTTTTCTGACATTTTTCTCTCATAGAAAATGAATTGAGCTCGTTTTCCATCCTTCATATCTTTAGATCTGTTTACAACCTTTTACTGCTCCTTTCACATTTTGTTCTGCGTCGGCTTCTTTCAGCTTCCATATGCAAATTTAAACATTTTTCAGCTAAGATCAGCTGTTTTTTCAGCTGTTTTATGTTCCTTTCAGATTCTTTCTGCTAACTACAACATTTTTGTGCTTCTTCTAACTTCTTTCTGCTAATTTCAGCTTGTTATCTACGTTTCAGCTTAATTCTGCTAGTTTCAGCTTTTTTCTGCTATTTCAGCTACAATTTAGCTGTTTTATGCTAATTTGAGCTTTTTTCAGCTAAATCCACATTTTGGGCATTCATTTCAACTTTTTTCAGCAATTCAGAAAAAAAAGCACTTTCTACTTCATTCTGGTAATTTAAGCTTCTTTCTGTTTTTAATTACTATTCAGCTGTTTAGTTGGGGTTTTTTTTAATGCAAATTTCTGCTTTTTCAGATAAATTCCTCTTTTTTGTGCTCATGTCTGCTTCTTTCAGCCTAACTGGGCACAATTGTGCTCTCTCCACCTCCTTTTGGTAACTTAAGCTTCTGTTTACCTATTCAGCTACTTACAGCTTTTTTTGGTTGCTAATTTTAGCCTTTTTTTTTTGCTAATTTACTCGTTTGTGCTTATTTAAAGCAAATTTTAAAAATATGCTTTCTTCTGCTTACTTAGGATTATTCTTCCATTTCAGCTATAGTTCAGCATGTTTTTTAGCTAATTTCAGCTGTTTTTCAGCAAGTTCTTCAGAAATAAGCATTCACACATCATTTTTGCATTGTTGCACATTGAATGCATTTTCAGTGTTTTTTTTTTTGTTTCAAATGGTTAAAATATTAATGAATTGATGACCAGAGAGAATTTTTTTTTTTTTTTAAGTTTAATAAATGCCAAACGTAAGAATATGAAATAATCAACAGAAACAAACTTTCTGATGTGGAGCATTTTGTTTTGTCTTCACTTGACAACAGCTGATACATCTAACTTTGCAGACGTGTTTATTTCTGGTGCACGGACTCACCAGTTTGAGGTCAGCTCTCACCTGATGAGCTTCAAGCAGGAAGTGTGACTTTGAGCTGCAGCAGCGTTTCCTCACATCTCTGTGGTGTTTCAGTCACGTCTGAGAGTTCTGTGGTTTGAGCTCAGTGTGTCGTATGTGTGTGTGTGTGTGGGTGTGTGTGTGTGTGAGCATCCTTTCAAACACTGCTATCATTAACCCTGTCTGAGCTCGTTTACACAGGAGTTCCACGTTGGAATGTGAAGAATTTTATTTATTTCATTTGGTGAACCAGATGCTCCTCCAGGCCAGAGGAAGACGCCTGCTGGAATATGATGTTCCACAGCCATGTCCGAGACCTGAGTCATTGCTGTGAAGAAGTCTGTTCTTCTCCTTAGAGACAAATGTGTATTTATGGGGTTGACGGGAAGCAGGATGACAGCAGCATTTTCCCTTTTGGTGTGTATGTGGTGTTTATTTCACTGTTTCCTCAAAACAGAACAGCCCTGAATACATGCTGCTTCTCCTTCTTTTTTTGTTTTTGCTCAAAAGAAAATCTCCCAGATTTCCAAAGTAAACATCATGTGACTCAGCATTCTCTTAAAGTGGAAAAGCTCTACTCCAGAAGTGAAAGCATGTTTTGTTATGACTAGAAAACAAGATTCTCTACACTTTTTATCATTTAAGTACCTTTTTGTCTCAGTGAAACTGCCATGTTGGGTATTGATCTGTACAGAATGAAAGCAGCTGTTTGTCATGGATTCTTATCTATTCTTATCTTATCTTATTATAAATGAGTCCCCGAGGCTCAGTGGGATTAACCTGTATAAATAAAGGTTGAATGAATCTGAACCACTGCAGTGACCTTACATATTGTGTAGCACGAACACTGAAACTTGAGCAAATGGTTAAAAAAAAGAAGTGTGTGTGGTTTTTTCATGCTTTGCTCCAACTCGCCTCAGAACAGGGCTTGACGCATGTTTCATTTTTTGCACCATCTTAAAAGAAAAACTCCCAGATTTCAAAAGAGAAACTACTTCTCAAAAACACATAATGGGCTACAGCAGAGCTTTTCAACTGGCGGCCCAGGGGCCATATCAGGCCCACGGGTGAACTCAGTTTGGCCCAACAATAGGCTCATTTTGAAATAAAACTAGATTTTAAACCATAAAACAAACTTATTTAATGACAATAACTGCTGGATGTCCAGCCCTTGAACTTTTGGCTTTCAGTAACTGTGCCCCCCTGAGCAATTTAGATGACTAGCCCTGGGCTATGCCTAATTATAATTTTTTGGATGATTTTAGTATTTTATGCAGAAATGTAATGTTTTTACATCATCTGCCACCATGGCTGGACAGGGATCGTGTTCATTCAATTCAATTCAGTTTATTTATAAAGCGCCAAATCACAACAAAGTTGTCTCAGGGCACTTTACAGGAACATTCACATACATTAAAAAGACATTTAGTAAAGTTCTCTAACTATGGAAGCCAGCAGACAAGTGGAATTTTCACAGTCTCCCTTCCTGAGCAAGCACAGTGGCAACAGTGGAAAGGAAAAACTCCCTTTTAATAGGAAGAACCCTCCAGCAGAACCAGGCTCAGGACAAGCGGCCATCTGCTTTGTTTTTTCGGCTGGGTTTGAGAGGACAGGAAGGAGAGACAAACGAACACAGAATGGTAGGTCCAGGTATAGGTCCTGGTGTACCTGAAAGAGAAAAAACACGTTAAGATAGAAAAAATAATTACAAAATACAAAACAGTTTGAGCAAAGTAAAGAAAAGCATAGTGAAAAAATGTGGTCAGCTTGTCCTCCACCAGTCTAAGCCTATAGCAGCATAACTAAGGGACAACTCAGGAAACCAAGCCAACCTAACTATAAGATTTATCAAAAAGGAAAGTCCTAACCCCAGTCTTAAAACTGGATAATGTGTCGGCCTCACGGACAGAAACTGGAAGTTGGTTCCACAAGAGAAGAGCCTGAGAACTGAAAGATCTGCCTCTCATTCTGTTTTTGGAAACTCTAGGGACCGCGAGTAAACCTGCAGCCTGAGAGCGAAGTGCTCTGTTAGGAAAATATAGAATAATAAGATCTGTAATATAAAACGGAGCTAGGTTGTTGAGGGCTTTGCAGGTTAGAAGTAGGGTTTTCAAATTCAATTCTGGAGTTGACAGGGAGCCAATGGAGAGAAACTAAAATGGAGATATGATCTCTCCTACTAACTCCAGTTAAGACTCTGGCAGCAGCATTTTGGATCAACTGAAGACGCTTTAAAGAAGTATTTGGACATCCAGATAATAAACCATTGCAATAGTCCAGTCTAGACGTGACAAATGCATGGACCAGTTTTTCTGCATCATTTTTAGATAAGATGTTTCTAATGTTAGCGAAATAACGCAGGTGGAAGAAGACGGTTCTAGTAATGTTTTTAATGTGGGGGATAAAAGACATGTCCTGATCAAAAAAAACACCAAGATTTTTAACATTAGAGCTGGAGGACAGATTAATGCCATCCAAGGAGGGGGGGAAGACTGAAAAATTTATTCCTAAGATGCTCAGGTCCAAAAACTAAAACCTCAGTCTTGTCTGTGTTCAAAAGCAGAAAATTTAGGGTCATCCAGGTTTTTATGTCTTTAAGACATGCTTGTAGTTTAAACAACTGATTTGATTCATTGGGTTTAATGGACAAATATAACTGTGTATCATCAGCATAACAATGAAAATGTATCCCATGCTGTTTAATAACTTTACCTAATGGAAGCATATATAAAGTAAAGATTATTGGCCCAAGCAATGAGCCCTGAGGAACTCCATGACTAATTTTGGTGTACGAAGAAGATTAATTATTTATATTAACAAAATGGAATCTATCAGATAAATATGATTTAAACCATTTTCATTTGTTGCTTGTGTCTCAGAGTGTTTGCTTATTTATTTGTCTGTTGAGAAAATATCTTATGAAGCACTGCATGGATTTTAATGAAACGCCCAGAAAGTAATGACTGGATGTGCATCTATGACTGATTAACTTTTGTAGTGAACATGAATCAAGTTGGCAGCCACAGACTATCAGCATCACTCTACACAAAAACGTCTTTAATTCAGTCACTTTTACAGATATTAACCTAATATTCAGTGTGGTAGTAGCTGCGAGTCAACCTTAACACCCACACTGAGCAGATACCTGAGACTGCACAGTTAAGAAAACGACTCTGATCTTAGTCTGAAATTCATGCATGAAAGGCAGCAGGCGACGTGCGTTCCTTCAAGGAATTCTCAGCCGTTTTATTCCAACTATTGGGTTTCACTTATTGTTAGATTTCACAATCAAATGCAAGATTTTAAAGCTGACAAATATATGGCATTAAATATCCTGCAGAATCAAAACATCTAAATGAAATAAAGTGAGTCACTGAAAAAAGCATAAATCCTGTCCACATTTTAACGTTTTGATTACTTTGTGGTTTGCCTAAAGGCAGAATTGCTTCACTGTTTTTGCAATTCCTGGAAAATTCATGGGAATCTTTAAGAGCTCCAAGTGGGATCTGTTTCAACATGTTTTGTTTTAAATTCGAGAGGCTTTATCTCGTTGTGAGAGGTTTAAGTTATGTGAAGAAAAAAAAGCCGTTGTATGGAATTACACAACAAATTAAACCATCAGCTGGAATAAAAACATGCAAAGTTTAACACATTCGAGTTGTTTTCTTATGAGGCGACATGACAAATAAAAAAATCTGTATTAAAAAAAAAATGAACACCATTATTTTTTATTGAAGGTGTGCAGGTGTGTGTCTGTTATCAAAATATCTCCACTGGAAGAACTTTAATAAAACTTGCAGAAACTCACAATGAGATGCACTTCAACTGTTCACTTTTGGAGTCACTCCAACTCAAGATGGCTTCCACAGCCAAATACACTAAAAAACACAAAACTTGTAACTAAGTCAGTTAAAGAGGTATAACCCTAAAGTTTGGTGTGGTAGTAGCTGAGAGTTATCCTAAGCACATGCAATGAGCGTGACGTCTCACAGTACTTGTGTACAGTATACGTCATTGTTGTGGGTTTTGAGGTTGTTTTAGTTTTTATCAGAGTTTCTTTGTATTTTAGTTGTTTGCTTGTTTTGTTGTTTGTTTTTGTCCTTGAATTTCCACCTGTCGTCCTCAGTTCTTCTACGTATTTAATTTCACAGTTTTGTTCCATCGGTTATTCAGCCTCGCTCCCATCCCAGTCTACAGAAGATCTTTGGGTTTATTTCACCTCGGTCAGATCCTCATGGTCCTGTTCAGTGTTTGAGTTGTGGATTCAATAAAGTTTTGTACAGATTTCAACCTGCCTGCTATGCATTTGCCTGCCATTTTGGATCTGGAACAATCCTGACAGCATCACATCATTTACACCAGGAAATGACCCATCCATCCATCCATCCATCCATCCATTCATCCATCCATCCATTATCTTCCGCTCGTTCCAAAGTCAGGTCTCAGGGGCAGCAGCTTGAGCAGGGAGGTCCAGACATCTCTCTCCACAGCCTCTTCCAGCTCTTCTGGGAGGATTCCAAGGTGTTCCCAGACCAAACAAGAGACGTGGGTCCTGGGTCTTCCCCGGGTTCTCCTCCCGGTCGGACATGGCTGAAGCACCTCCCTAGGGAGATGCCCAGGAAGCATTCTTACCAGATGCCCGAACCACCTCAAGTGGCTCCTCTCGATGTGGAGGAGCAGCTGTTCTACTCCGAGTCTCTTCAGATAACTGAACTTCTCACCCTATCTCTCTACCCTGTGGAGGACACTCATTTCAACCTCCTGTATCCACCATCTCATTCTTTCGGTCACTACCCAGAGTTCATGACCCTGGCTGAGGGTAGGAACGTAGACTGACCAATAAACAGAGAGCTTTGCTTTACAGCTCAGTTCCCTCTTCACCACAAAGGACCGGCACAGAGTTCGCTATACAGCAGACGCAGCACCAATCCGTGTGTCAATCTCACGCTCCATTCTTCCCACACTCATGAACAAAACCCTGAGATACTTGAACTCCTCCACTTGAGGCAGAACCTCAACCTGAAGAGAGCAATCCACCCTTTTCCAACTGAGGACCATGAAATGATCTCAGTTTAAAAACCTGGCACCAAAGAACCTGAGGGTTTATTACATAATTAAATAATATATTTATTTAAATCATGTTATTTGAAAGTTATGATTTTTCCCCCCTAATTGAAATCAAGCAAAGGGAACATATTTCTCAAATCATGTCATAACAATTTTGATAATTGTGTGGGTTTTGCCATTGTGATTTTTCTTTTTATACAGAAAAGACCTATAAACTCTAATTGTTGCAAGCCTCAACAGAAACAGAGTCTTGATTGAGTGATAAACTGCAACAGCGGGAAACTCTTTTTGTTTCTTGTCTTCTGGGCAGACACAAAACGACACAGCTGCACATCAGCTCCAGCTGAGCTGAACTCATCCTCTCTTTATTTTTGCTCTCGCTTTATTTTCCACCTGATCCCCTTTCAGTTAACTTCTAAGGACTTCACTTCCTTTGAATCTCCTATCCAAGTCCACCTCATCCCCATTAAACTTCCTGCTCACTGTCTTGTGCATAAGTCTGCGCAATTGTGTGCACACCTGATGCACAATCATGGGACGACTATGATAAACAATATAAAATACTGTAAAAAAGCAGCGGCTTGAGGATCAGCCTCATTAGAACCAGTGCAGATGAAATCAGAGAGCGAGCGAGGAAATAAATATGGGATTATCAGGGATGTCACATGAACAGAAAACTGAGTTAGGCTCACATTGGATGTGGACTATCACTGGCACACTTTTGTAAAATACAAAATTCTAATTATTTTATTTGTTGTTTAACGTCTACAAATAAAAATGTGTTCAAAAAGACAAAATCCAAACATAGACCCACCTTAATGCGTCTCAGTGTGTGTGAACGGGCACAGCTGCAACAATTAGAGGAGAAGCAGACAGACGATGAATTTACATTCAAGAGAAAGGCTAAAAGATAGAGAGAGCTTGAGGGATGAGAGGAGGGATATACCTCAGATTATGAACTGGGGTCAGATGCTCCAGTGACAGATAAAGAGGCGGAGTGGACCGGACCGACGCACAGAGACCAAGAAGACATCTTTGTGTATGCCAGCTGGACTGCAACCATGACTGAGATGAAAAAAGCGGCGTCTACGGACGTGTCAGAGGGGAAGCTGGTGAAGAAGGTCAGTGGATGCAGATTTAATAATAATAATGATGATGATGATGATGATGATGATGACCATAGCATAGCTGTTGGTGATGCTCTGACACGCTCCACATGCTGCACAGTGGTAACACGTGGCTCAGTAAATCATAGATTTTCTTTT